CTTTCCTAGAGTTTGAGTAATTTGAGAATTGTGGTTTATGGCTTCTTCCCTACATGGGAAAGGGCAAAATTTTTATAGAGTGGGAACAGTTATTTTCTTCCCAGCTTTTTTCCAACTTCAGAGATTTCTGTAAGAACATCATGTCTAATGCCACACAAACACTCTGAGCATGGAGAAGAGGTTGGGTTGTTAAAGAGGACTCAACTCCATGGAAAATAAATACATTTGAGTCCTCACTTGTTAGATTGTCCTTTGCCCCAAGCTCTGGCCAGAAATAGGATGTGCTGTCCCAAAACACAGGGAACTGGCTCCTCTCTCTGCCCTTCTGGCTCTTGGCTTTGTTTTCTTCTATTTGCATTATTTCTAGGCTTGTTTTCCCTTTCTAGGCTTGTTTTCCCTCCTTATTGTTTTTTCTCCTTTTGTTTATCTTCATTTATTTCCAATTCTCTTGCTGCCTATCTTCTCTTTGATTTTTGCTTTGTTTCTTCCCTCCCTGTCTAGCCTCAAATGTGGGTAGTATGAATGGGTGATTTCTAGAAGGAATAAAAGCAGTTAAGGAGGCAAAAAAAGCAACAACATTTTCTGTGCATCACAGTGTAAAATGTACAATAATCAAGCAGAACCACTCTAAATGAATTATGGTAAAAAAACGCAGATTACCAACATGTCAAATACTATTAGCACTCAGATTTGCAAAAGCAATGTATGCACAGAGGAAGGGTTTTATATTTTAGTTTATTTTAGTCTTGCTTTCTTTATAAAGTGAATGCCAGCCACTCCTAACAGCTGGGTTTGGTGTCTTGAATGAATTAATGATAAAAAAAGAAAAGCAGGACTTTTTCCCAGGTGTGACTTCTTTGCAGGGACTTCAGGAGTGTTCCAGTATATGTGTAAAGGTCTCATTTCATTGGATGGGAATAATAATCCCTTATTCCACTGGAGAAGGGAGGTGTAAGAGAATCAAAACTAAAAGGCCACAGAAAGAGGAATTCTGACTAGGAATTTGATTTGCTGACATGAACTGGAAAATGGAGGAAGGATGGCTTTAATTAGAGGGATTCCTAAAGGATCAAGTGTCTCATGACATCCTCAAGGACTGGTGGAGTAGGCAATTAGTTGGTGACCCTGATGACCACTGGAAGAGGCCACCAAGGCTCTTTATGTTAAATACTCATAGAATCATAGAATATCCTGAGTTGAAAGGCACCAACAAGGATTATCCAAGACCAGCTCCTGGCCCTACACAGGAGAACCCCAGGAATCCCATTGTGTGTTCTAACTCAGCTCTCCAAACAGCCAAGTTTGAACACCTCAGATGGGGTTGCTTTCCTTGTCCAAGTTTTATGAATATTTATTAATAATAAATTGCCCTCCCTATTTTATTAATAAAGATTGCTCTTGAATTATTACAGCTATTTTTCCTTGTATGGTGGAGTTTGGAAGGATGTGGAGTTCAGCCAAGAGATGAAAACATTCTGAGTTTGGCCAACAAACCAGAATCTCCACCTCAGCAATGTTTGCTCCGGGGTGAATCCTCTGAAGAGCACAAGGAGAGAACCCGACTCCGTCTCTCTTTCAAAGGAGCTGCTCCATTTTGCATGAATAAATATTTGTTGGGCCAGCAGGGATTTTATAGCCCATCAGCTCAGGCACTCAGCTGGGATGGAGGAGACGTGTGCCCAGGTCCCTGTTCCAACGTGTGGTTAATTATTTATCTGCAGCAGAACGGCTGAGAGAGGCTGAGACAAAGAGCCAGAGGCCAAGTCTGCAGCCTCATTGCTGGATGAGGTTTGGTTGCCAAGGAGGCCATGAATTTTATCCCTGCAGATAAGTGGCTTTTTTAGGGTTCAAATGGCTTTGCTGCTGAAGATCTGAGCAGGCAGGATTAGACTGGGTTTTAAAGATTGCTCCTGATAAATCAGGTTGGTCTGAGGGGAGTGCTAGGGGGGTTTTATTTTTCTAGGCAGAAATTTTCCAAGGTCTCGGAAAAGGTGATGGCTCTTTGAAATGTCCAGCTTTTTCCAGGATGGGATGACTCTTTCCCCTCACATGTTTTCTGTTGGACTTCTATGCTCTCTTCTTCCTCGGGCACCTTCCACCAATTTCCCTTCTCAAAGGACAATTTGCCCAGCCGGGATTTTGTCCAGGCTGTCATGAAGGCTGTCATGCACCCACTTACCAAGGAACGCTGCACAAGAGGACCTGTTTAGTGCAGGAATCCTGGGACATCTCTCTGAAGAGCTCAACATTCAGCTGAGGGGGTTGTCCTGGACCAAAGGCCAGCAAAGAGTTCGCTTCACTCAAGACACAGGCATTTAGCTTAAAGTGAGTTAATTAGCAGCCGAATTAAAGTGAAGTGAGTTGTAGTCTAATAGACCCACGGCTTGCAGAAGTTTCTTCCATCCACGGTTTTCTAGAAGGGCTGAGACTTCAGAGATGTCGTGTGGCCTCTAATGAAGACATCCTCTGAAGTCGGTGTGTGTCCAGCAGCTCAGACTCTCATCCTCTGCTATTGAGTGGGAAGAAAAAGGTCACCTTCCTTGACCTCCCCCAGGCAGATCTTATGCCAAAGCAAAGCTGCAGTTCCTTGACAGAAAGGCTGGGAAGCAAATTAAACCATACACACTGTTTGTCGACCCTCTGAGCCTTCTTCATTACTGATTTGCAAAATTATGCTGCTCCCCCTCGCTAAAAAATATCTGGGATACTTTTAAATAATCACACAATCAAAGCAATTGACTCATCTAGGAAATACTTTAGAAAATGGTATTTTAGGCATCTTGTTATTAGTCGTTAATAAGAAATAATGCATTTGGTGTGAGATAGTAATGGGAGTTCCAGCCTCCCTAAAGCTTTGGATTGGGTCTGTAAATAAAAATAGTTTCAAGATGTAGGTTTAATCTAAACCTGGAGGAAGTTTAGGCTCAATTTCAGATTGAAACCTGCTCCTGTTTTGAGTGGGGGACTAGACCAAGGGCTCATCTGACCTGATGGCTTCCTGTGAAAGACGTTCCTCACGTCCTTGTCATGTTGCTTGGATTTTTTCTTCGGACTCAGTGGAAAGATGTCCCTGAGCAGTAAATCTTTATTATTACCTTGCTCTGGTTTTCTCTAAGCACTGGACTTCTGAGGAGTGCCAGAATAATGACATTGAGATGGCCAGTGAGACCAGGAGAAGCCTCCCACTCCTGGCTGAGGTTCCACTTCCCAGTGCTGGTGTCCTCGATGGCTGGGCTGCCCCAAGGGTGACAGTGACTTTATCCAGTGCCATTTGTCCTGTTGTAGGAGACCTCCCCAATGTCTGAATGCATGTTTCTGCTGAGGAGCAGGTCGAGGACGGCCATGTGTGTACTGCCACGTTTTATATTAAACAAAAATAAATTCCCTCTAATGTGAGCTTTTCAGACAGGTTGTCCTAATATATTAACTTCTGTCTGTGTTTTGAATAGTCAATTTCACGGTGAAATGAGTTCCTAATAATATATTTACCACCTGGGAGAAATCTCCCAGCCATCTGGAAAGGAGTGGGGATTTAGTGCCTCCAAATGGAGATTGGTTTTTTATTTATTTATTTTGCCCATGGTTTATTCCCTCCTCCAGATCAGACCCAGAGGATGCTTTGGGTCAGACTTGACCATTGCAGCAGGTTTTTGTGTCTTTTGCCCCATTTTCAGTCTGGCAGGAGGTTCCCTGCCCATGGTAGGGGGGTTGGAAATCTATGATCCTTAATGTCTTTTCCAACTCAAACCATTCAGGGATTCTGGGATTTCTGACTGGTGTGGAGGTGTCAAGAAGCATGTGGAGGTTCTCCACAGCTTCTCAGGCTGGAGCCTGGTGTTCAGGCAGCACAGGGACATGTCACCTTCACCAGCTCTAATCTGGGATGGCTTCTGTCCCAGGCACTGGGGACTGAGGTTTGGAGGAAGAGGAGTTTTTCTTGTAGGTGCTGGCAAAGCCTTTCCCTTCGGATGGAGATGTCAGTGATACATGACCTAAATCCAGGCCCATTTGTGTAATACATCTTTGGAACTCCAGTAAAATACGAGCCAGATGCAAACCAAGCTATCCCTTGATTATGTGGGGGAAATGGTGAATTTATCATCACTTGAAGTCTTCTAAGCAAGACTGATTGTCCTGCTAAAACCTCGCTTGTGCATCAGCAAGAAGTGACCGGGTTTGTTGGTGTTTGCCTGAGCGCAAGGGAATAATCCCTGAGTTTGCTCTGGGACTCACAGGGTGAAACTGCATGGCTTGGCTTCTCCAGGCAGTCAGCTTTGATTGTCTCTTCTGGTCTTAGACATTGTGGATTGATGGAAACTCATCATGGCCTTTCTCCTGTGTCCTCACGTCGCTTCCCCGTGTGCTCAACCCTCATCTTTTTTATCGCTGGAGTATGAAATTCCCACGTGGTTGAGAGAACTTGGTGCTCACCCAACACAAGTCCCCGTGGAAGTGAAATCTGATGGCTCCAGGGCTTGAAAATCATTAATTTTGTTTGCAGAAGTGATAGCATTAGGGATTTTAGCATATCCCCACCCCCTGCTTTCATGCTCTGCACAGGTTGCTCCTGTTACACTAAATGAAACTTTTTGCTGGGAGATTTTGAACAATCCACAAAGGATGTCATTGAATTCCCAAAATTGCTCAGGACACGTTTGCACATGTCATTGCAGTAGAAGGATCTGCAGCCCTGCTCTTGGAATTTCTCTGTACTGCAGGAATGTGTGTAATCTGGTGGATTTTATGTGCCAAAATCTTCTTGTTGGGAGTGGTGGGAGAGGCTGGAATAGAAGGTTCTAAAGTGGACCCATCCACAGTCACAGAATCCTTCTCTGTAATTTCCAGTGCTGTTGTATATGCAAATTAAAGCCATGAGGTCACAGAATCATGGAATGGTTTGGGTTGGAAGGATTCTTAAAGATAATATAGTAGCACCCCTTGCCATAGGACACCTTACACTACCCCAGGTTGCCCTAAGCCCTGTCCAGCCTGTTCTTGGACACTTCCAGGGACCTAGGGGCAGCCACAGCTTCTCTGGACAACAAGTTTACCCTCCCCAAAAGGTATCTTAAATCTCCTTTGTTTTTTCTGTGTTAAATGAGTTCAAGAAGGAAAGCAAGTCCTAACCTCTCATTTTCCACTGTTCCACTCTGCAGGCTGGAAAAGAGTGAGGAGAAGGGTTGGAAGCCCCCTTTGACTGAGGTTGAAAGCATTAAGGTTTTGTTTGTCCAAACCATTTAACCCACATATTTCAGCAGTGTGTGGCCAGGATGCCTCCAGCCATCCACACCTTTGAAATCCACTAAGTCTCTAACTCGGTGCAGACACCTGGCAGCTCCTGAAATATGTATGGGAGAGGGGAAAAGACAAAGGGAGTCCTGTTAGAGCTGCATTTTACATCAGGTTGCACCAAACCCCTGGATTTCTCTTTCCTTGAACTTGAAGCTGGCAATAATTGAAGCCCAGATTTGGCAGCTGCTGTTCTGACATGATATTGCTGCCGGGTGTTATGAAAACCACTAGAGCCAGAAACCAGTGCAATATTCTGTGCTTGGAGTTTGAGCTTTCAAACATATGAAGCATCAATCTCTCGCTAGCGGCTCCTGAGCTATCAGTTCCTACAATCAGGTGGAAAAGAGTCTTTCAAAAGTGCTTAGTTACTGGAACAGTACAAATGCTTTCTGGACCAGTAAATGCTTCCTCGTATCGGTCCCAGTCCATGATTAGGATGATAAAAATCTGGTCCCTGAGAAAATGCACTGCCTGGATGCTCCTATTGCTGAAAATGTCAGAATAACCAGGAGGATGAGGAAGGATGCAGGGCCCTGGGATCAGTTATCTCACCCTACGGGGCTGCTTCCAGCTGTGTTCTTGCTCTTATTTTTCTTTTTGTGGCAGATGAGTGATTTTCCCTCTTGATCTTTTAATATGAAGTCTTTGCTCTTGAATCTCTTAATAGGCTGATCCAATCATCCTCACCCCATTGATTAATTTTTAAGGTTTAGGGTGATTCAAGATATACCTGAAATTTTTAGAGACATGGATGATCTTTGGGGCAGGGGGTCAGACATACACTTGGGTCTACCTAGAACATGTAGAAAGTTTATTATTCCTTGTTTGATATTGCCAGGATTATAATTGAACTATTTTAATTAATTGAATGAACCTGATCCATGTGTCTGAGTGCAAAGACAGCGTTGGTGTGGCTTGAGCTCTGTCTTCCAGGCTTCCAAATCCAGAATCCAGCCTTACATTGGGTAATCACTTCTACAAGCATCACATTTAGCTATTTAAGCTCATTTCAAATCTTGGTTTGTGATATTGCCACTGAAACTGCCAGTTATTCTTTGCAGTTGCTGTGACTTTATCAGTTATAATGGGAATTGTCAGTTATAATGGGAATTGTGGGCTTGAGCCCCCTAGGATGATGATTTGAGTGCTGAGGATTGTTGCTATTTTAACAAGAGTTTCATGGAGCTTGTGCTTTTGAGCATCAGACGCTGGGTGAAAGCAATATTTTATTTATTTCCTTGCATAATTTTGGGTTCAAGGGGCCAATAAGCCTGGAACTTTTTGCTTTTTAAAGTTTTGTGGCTGGTGAGCGATGGTGTGGGGCCAGATCCAGTGGAAGGAGCAAAAACACTCTACCATGGACCCATTTCCTACCAGCAATTTGTTTGATTGTCACAACCCTGTCCCTAAAACAATTGTGGGGGTTAAATTTCCCCGTGTGACGTCACAGTGCCTCAGCTTCATTTATCTTGGAAGGATGTAAAAGGTGGGGATGTTTTCAATTGAAACCATCTCCATTCTCAGCCCATTTTGCAGGAGCCGTTTTACTGGTGATGTGACATGATATCAATAACAATGAGGTTTCTCGCTGCCTGCTCTCGTTGTTTATGGAAAGGAGTTTCAGAAAACATATTATTATAGAGAATAATGGATGGGCTGTAGGGAGACAAGGAAATAATTGCATTGAGGGGGCTTGAAAACATCATAAAGCCAAGAATGGAGTTTGGTTGGACTCTCATGTCACAGGGTCCCAAGGAGTAAACTAATTCTCCATAAATCTGTGCAGCCCATTTAGACTTACGGGATTTCTTTTCTTTCCTTCTCTACTAGATTTTTTCTCCCCTTTTTTCTTTTGAAGAAACACCACAGAGGAGATGGAAGTGAAAAAAAGCCACCCAATCCCCAATTATGATGATTAATTATCCGTTTGTATTTTGTTAGCACCTATAGATTCTCTGTCAGGGGCCTGAGAGTCATCCAAGCACAGAGTAGAAAAACACACAGCCTTTTTCTAAGGAGCTTTCTTGGAGCTTTTTTAAAAAAGGAATGAATGAATATTAAAAATAAAAACAACTAAATAATTAAAAAGGAAAAGAAAAGGAGCTGCCAAGGAGTTGACATCCAGATCAGAAGTGTTGCCAGCACTCTCACTGCTAAAACCTTTGCTCTGGGTTTATTCCAACTGCCAGAGGGCAGGTTTAGATGGGATATTGGGAAAACATTGTTGCCTCTGAGGGTGGGCAGACCATAGCTCAGGGTGCCCAGAGAAGCTGTGGCTGCCCCCCCGGAAGTGTCCAAAGCCAGGTTGGACAGGGCTTGGAGAAACCTGGGACGGTGGAAGGTGTCCCTGCCCATGTCAGGGGGTGGAATGAGATGATCTTTAAGGTCTCTTCCAGCCTGGACCATTCCATGATTCTCTTCCCTCCAATCCACTCTGGAATTCCACGAATTTTGGTTGCTGTTGGGAAGATCTCAAGTTGTTAAAGCCATTAATTTGTAAGCAAAGCCTGTTTGAATTTTGTTGTAAAAATAAGTCCCTCTCAGGTGCCTGGCAGGAGGGAGCTGAGAGGGCAGGATGAGATCCTCAGTTGTGCTTTGGAGGAATTTGAGATCCAGCCGGGCATGAGGTTGGAAGGAGTTGGGCATCTCAGTCCTTAGCCTGGGGGGGATCCACATTCCCAGTCCTGAGAGACACAGGGGAGAGCAAGCATCTTCCCAAAATTGGGCTGAACTCTTGCCTCCGTGGTCCTCCCACTGGAAATCTCAGATTGCTCTATCACAAAACCCCCACTGACTGACCATTTCCCAGAGAAGTTTTCCTCTACTTTCCCATCAGCCACTCCCCCCCAGGCCCTGTAATTTTTATTTGCATTACATCAGTCTGGGGGAAAATTAAGATAATCAGGACTTTGACCAGTTCTTTCGGAGAGCGATGAAAAGGTCTTTTCTGCCTCAGGGAGGGGTTGTTTGTTCCAGCCTGGAAGCACAGCATTATAATTATCATGGGATTAAACTGAAGGATTAAATTGGTGGTGGCTGGTTGTTACACTTCCATGGGCTTCATGGGATCTGAGGTCAAATTCAGGATGAATGGGACAATTTGTATTCCTGGGATGTGGTGGTTGTGTCATTTTTCAGCCCTGTTTTCTCCACCTTCCTGGATTTTAGGATCCTCCATTAGTTCAATATGGACTCGTGCTGGTTTAGCTCTGTCATAGCTGCCAAAACCTGCGATGACTTTCCAAGGGGATTTGTACACCTGCACCAGCCTGGACGATTCCCTGCTGTGGGAACAGCTCCACTCACTCTCCCAACCCCAGCACTGCCGATGTTGGGTGAATAATGGCTTTTTAAACTCTTTTTCACAGCTTAGTTGGTGGCCAGGGCAAAGAAACAACATCGCCTTGAGGTCACCTCAGAGAAAAGTGTGGAGCTGGGTTTCTTTCAGTGACGTCAACCCAGTGTTTCTGTCAAATCCTAATGAAACATTTTATGCAAACGTGGAAACCGACCCATATGCTTCACTCAGCGTAGCCTTTTTTTAACCTTTTAGATAAATGTCAATTTTTTGGAATGACAATGACATTTCAAGTGAGAGATTGAAATGTAACACACAAGAAACATCATCCACGAGATGTTTTGACTTCTCTGCAGCTCCCTCCTCTCCCCGTTCTATTTATTTTCTGCAAAAACTGTTCGCTAAACCTGACTTGAATCCACAGATAGCTTCGGTTCCTGAAAATGACATTTTCTAGCAAACACGCCGTCAATCGAAAACAAAAGGAAATCAATCTTACAGGCTCTGCTCACCTTTGGTGCCAGAGCCAGCCCTGGGCTTTACAGCACATAGTGTTGCTCAGAACCACTGGGGCTGGGACATGTGGTTCTTCTGACCCCCTCTGACATGCAGAACTTTTGCTTTTCCAGCTTTGCAGCCCAGGAATTTCCTGTTTTGGATTAAGTGCTGTGCTTTGGTGGCTCTCTGCAAGGTTGCAGAGGAGCATTTAGAGGGTTTTGGTTGCCATCCTTGCTGATAAAATGCACCAGCCAGGTTCTTCTGTAATTGAAAACAAGATCAAGGAATCCCAGAATGGTTTGGGTTGGGAGAGACCTTAAGGATAATTTTGTTTCAAGGACAATTTTGTTTCAAGGACATGCCAAGGGCAGGGACACCTTCCGCTATCCCAGAGTGATCCAGGCTCTGTCCAGCCTGGCCTTGGACATTTCCAGGGATCCAGGGACAGCCATGGTTTCACTGGGGAACCTGTGCCAGGGCCTCACCACCCTCACAAAGAAGGATTTCTTTGTATTATCCCATCTAACCCTGCCCTTTGGCAGTGTGAACCCATTCCACTTGTCCTGGCACACCAGGCCCATGTCCTAAGCCTCTTTAGGCACTGGAAGGGGCTTTAAGTTCTCCCTAGAGCCTTTTCCTCTACAGGTGGAACATCCCCAGCTCTCCCAGTCTGTCTCCACAAGAAAGGTTCTCCAGCCTTTGTAGCATCTCTGTGGCCTCCTTTGGACTTGGTCCAGCAGCTCCACATCCTGCTGATGCTGGGGTCCCAGAGCTGGACACAGTGCTCCAGAGGGGTCCCACCAGAGTGGGGCAGGGGGGGCAATCCCCTCCCTGGGCTGATGCTGATGGTGCTGGGAACACAGCCTGGGACAAGGCTTGGCTTTCCGGGCTGAAAGCACACATTCCCAGGTCAGGAAAGATCTGAGCTGGGAAGAAAAGTGTCCTTGTCACACAGGAGCAGAGCTCTGCATTAGCATCATGAGCTGCTAAAGCAGAGGGTAACAGAGACATGGGGCAAGCAATGACACCCACAGACTTCATGGGATGAGCTGGGATCAGAAACTTGGAATGGGCAATGACACCCACAGCCTGACATGGGATAAGCCAGGATCAGAGACATGGAATGGGCAATGATTCCCACAGATTGACATGGGATGAGCTGGGATTGGAGAACATGGAACAGGCAATGACATCCACAGCCCGACAAAGGATGAGCTGGGATCAGAAATATGTAATCGGCATTGATATCCATAGCCTGACATGGGATGAGCCAGGATCAGAAACATGGGGCAGCCAAAAACATCCACAGCCTGACATGAGCTAGGATCAGAGACGTGGAATGGGCGATGACACCCGCAACCTGACATGAGATAAACCAGAATCAGAGACATGGGGCAAGCAATAACATCCACAGCCTGACATGGGATGAGCCGGGATGGGAGCAAGATGCTGGCTCTGACTCAGGAGGGCAATGAAGTGCAAACCTCCAGTACTTCATCACTCAGGCCCTTGCTTAACTGCTGGCTTATGAATCAGTCAGTGCCCACAGGATTCCCTGAGTCACCGTCTAGAAAGGGATAAACGCTGCTTCTCAGCATCTCATCCAAATTGTCCTCCTTCAGCCCCTTTATTTTTGTTTGCTGATGGTGTTGTGAAAGCAAAGCTTCAATATACTGAGAGAAGAGATAAATCCAATCTTTGCTGTGCTGCTTTGCTTCTGTTTTACCCCAAAGAGTGCATGGCATAGCATGCTTTGGGTTGGAAGGGAGCTTAAAGCTCATCCCATCCCACCCCCTGCCACGGGCAGGGGCATCTTCCACTGTCCCAAGGTGCTCAAAGCCCCGTCCTGACTTGGACACCTCTGGGAATGTGGCAGCCACAGCTTCTCTGGGCAATGACCTGGGGAAGTCACTGCTGCAGGAAGGTCTTGGGGTGTGAGGATGGCTCTGTCCCCTCTCCTTCTGTCAGGCTGGTTTGTGGCACAGAGCAGGGTGCACTCACGCCACTTGCTCTGTCCAGTGTGAGCTCTCAACCTTCTTTACAGCCAGGAAAAATTAATGGCAAGCAGGTTTGGAAGGTAGATTATTTCATTATCATCGTAATTGGTGCTTATAATTAGTTGTTACTCTGGCGTGTGATGTGCCCTGAGCTCTGCGGCTGCAGAGTGCAGGAGCAGAAAGGAAAGGCTATTTTTATTTTATTATTAATTATGGCTGTTGTTTATTTTATTGGATATTTATGCACTTGCTGTTTCAATCAAGTAACCTCAGCTCATTTGGCTTTGCAGCAGGCAGATGGTTGGGCTTTGCCTGGCCTGGCTCTGGTTCAGCTTGGGCTCTGCCTCCTGCTCGTCGGTCAGCCATGCCTGGCTTTTCCCAGGAGAAAATTTGGAATAGCTCTGCCTGCCTTGCTCTGTGCTTGTGCTGTGCATTCACAGAAATTGCAAACTCTGACATCAGGGATACTGGATGCAGATCCCTCACTGGGGATCCAGAGAAGCATCGCTGCCTCTCCCAGCCGGGACCACCGTCAGCCCAGGCGTCCTGTTGGAGGACAGAAGCCTCTTGTGGAAGGCAAATCACCCTGGAAAAGCTGCAGATATTTGCTCTGAGTCAGGCAAAGGGCCCTCTTTGTGGTGCGTCAGCCTTTCCCCGCTGAAACAATAAATGGCCTTTTCCTCGTTAGCTGACGCTACCCAACAAAGCGCCATTGATTTTGGTGGGTGCTTCATCAGCCACAGCGAGGCAGGGACGGGGTTTACGACCCCACCGGCTTTTCCAGGCACGCACGGACATGTGGTTGGGTTTTAATGAGCACTTCGGGCCACAAAGTGGGTCAGCACTTTCATCTGCTCTGTCTTGTCCCCCCCACCCCCTGCTCCCTCCCGCACAGAGGCCCGAGGATGTCACCGTGGGAGGATGTCACCATGCGAGGATGTCACCACGCGGTGACACGAGCTGCCACATCCCGGGGCTGGCCCGTGGGGGTGGCAGTGCGGGCAGGGGTCCTGCTGGGACACGGGGATGGAGCCTGCTGATGCGGCTCCCCACGGATCCTGAGCTTTGTGCCAGTGGCCGGCCTGGTGCGCTTTGAAGCCTGAAACCTTGAGCACTTCAAACGGGCCGAGGACAGGGGGATGATGTATGGGAAATTAATATCTAACGGGGCTAAAAATTGTTCTCGATGTCGCCAGAACTCCCCTGTCCAGCTGAGCTCTATTTACTTTCATCCCATCCAGAGCATTTAACACAAAGAGACC